AGCACATGAGCTGCAATTTCTGGTCCTGTGTTGGGAGGAACCGGAAGGACGATGTGGAAGAGTATGGGAGCTCCTGGTAACTGCACATCATTCCAGGCCGCTCTCATCGTACTTTCCCATGTATCAAAATCCTCGTAGAGCCTCACGAGTCTGGGCTGCCCGCACGTTCGCAGATGTGGATGGAACTGATCGACGAACCATGTCATCACAGATGTAGACGCCGATTCATGTTCCCAACTAAATGCAGTTCTCGACCAGTGTTCATGGAGTTCTTGAATTGTCTCTGGCTGGACATTGAGAGGTGCTTGTCCAGGGCAAAAGGCCGCTGCATTTGGGTTGAGAGCAAAGGCCCCTTCTGCTGCTCCCGCATCTGCATCTCCATGGTCAAGCTCCGGAGGTCTTTGCATGAACCCAGTTTCATCATTTTCGAGATTGCTAGAAGAAGCAAAGAGTCCCTGGTCCCTGATGAAGATCACAAAATTGGTGCCAGGATCCACATGATCCGGGTCAAGAGGGTCAAGTGAGATCGCTCCTCTTCGTACTGTGCAACTTCTTGTGCTACATCTCGCTTGAATGTCAGCTTGTCGAATCACAGATCTCGCTGTCATCAAGGAGGGCAGTGAAAAAGCTCTGTGATCGATGATGGCTCCCTGGAAGTTTGCTTCGTGAATCGATATGAGTCCAACCACATAGTCCTGTCTCGGCGCCTGTTCAATGATGAGATGCGCCAGGATGCACTCAAATAGTGTACATGGTGGCGTAGGTCGCACAAGATAGATTGTTGTATCAAGCTCAGGATCGATGACATCTCTCCAGGGTTCCAGTAGGTCTTCAAGCCAAGAAGCTGGGTCATGAAAGAGCCTGACTGCTCGAGGAGCTCGACATTGCGGGCTGTTTGAATGGTGTATATACCATGTATCAACGTAGGCAATGGGGCCCTCCTCTTCACATTCGATGATTGACCTTGATTCAAAGAGGTTGGAGAGGGTGTCGAAGTCACGGTCGTGAAATCTGCTTCTTGGTCTCGGAGGATGACGTTGTTGATGTTCTTGTCCGCCAATGGGAAGTGTCGGATGTACAACTTGGTCCGGTGCAACTTTGAAATGCTCAGGTTGCCACTGTGACTGCCAAGTCGTGCATGTATCGACAAATCTTTTGATGGAGTGCTGGAACAAGGAATGATCTTCCTCTCCGTGCCCATGTAGGTGTGGTCGTGATGGCTGATGTGTTTGACAAAAGGTAGCTTGTTGTCCTCTGTCAGCTTCAAGCGCAAACTCGCGTGAAATCGCGATGGCCGTCTCCGTGTCCAGAAGAGGATCCTCAGGCGGTGGAATTTGGATCCTGATATATGCTCCATGTGTCAATGCATGCACTGTGCGGTCATGGGCAGGCCAAATGATGTTGTTCTCAAAGACGATACATTTGTCACCATGGAGCTCACAGTAATCATTGAGTCCATTGAGCAGCAGGAGTTGAGAACGATGGACAGGAGGATGAATTCTCATCACTCGTCTGGTCACCGTGGGTGGCACCAGCAATCCATTGGGAAGAGCATGTGCATGAATCTCAAGATCCAGGAGAACGAGTTGCTCTGAGGAGGCTGCGCGAATATCCGCGAACGATTGCAGGATAACAGCTCTCTCATTTTCAGTATGGATCCCAATCGGATGTGCTTGAAGAAAGTGCATCGCCACAATATCATTACGTGGAACTCCAAGGCAATGTGCAACATTGAACAGGATGTGACGATACTCATCCCATCTTATGTAACAGTGTGCATCAGGTCTTTCAAGGCGATATACATGGACTCCTACATCACTTTCAGGCCTGGATGAGGACGATGAAGCAGTTCTCGCATGCCCGGGCGAAGGATTGGACCTTTCCTCAAATGGCAGCTCTTCATAGTCATGCTCTTGTTGAGGAAGTCCCTGTGATGAGGCCGCAAGCTCATTCGAATGTGAAGATTTTGTGATGAGAATGGTGAAGGCATTGCCGTTCAAGACTTGGTGGACTTGCTGAAAATCGAAAGGAATGTGTTGCCATCCGATCGAAATACTGCAGCGATGTCGCATGTTAAGACACCATTGGTCCGCATCCGCTGCTTCTGCAAGTCTTCTCCCACTGACCACAATCTCCAAAGAGCTGGCAACCGCATAGGTGTGTGGGTCCAGTTGATCACCTTGATAATGGACAGTAATGAGACCAGCACGTCTCGGAAGGTCATTGCCCTGCGTGATGAGGATATCACAGTGGACTTCCTGTCGAAGATATCCTCTGTAGGGGTCCGGAGTGACGAGATGAAAGAAGATGCTGGCCCCTGCATGTAAGTGGGAACGCCATGAACCAATAATGTCATCAGCCCATCGCCGCCAATCATCTTCAATCTCAACTGTCCTTGAGTGGAAGTTCACCAAAAGATGCTGATGATGAAGATACCATGTTCGAACTCGAAGGACGCCATCACTATCAGGATCTGAAAATATGCCAGTCCGCTCCCCAATTGCGTAGAGGTCTTGCGCAAATTGCGGTGCTTCTTGGATATCAGGAATGATGTCAGGGTCCGGCTCCGGAACTTCTTGTTGTGCTCTTCGAGCAGGATTGTCGAAGTGGTTGTCAGTGATCTTACATTGAAAAATGCCTTTCGAGGAGGTGTCATTCGGTGGCATCAAGCTGGAGATACTACCTGTGATGGGATCTACAACAGCGACGCTGTCCGCACCATTGGAAGATTCGATATTCAAATTGAGAGAGGGATTCGAAGCTGTTCCCGTGGGTGGAGTTGCAATTCCCGATCCGTCTTGGGCTTCCGTAGATTCACCTCTTCGTGCGAGACCTCCGTCAAACCAAGGACAGACATGAAAACGACTTTGTTTCATCTCCGCAATCTTCTGGCATCCACTCCACGGTGTAGCTCCAATTGTGAAAAACATTGAAGGCAAGCAAAATTCATGAAAAGCCCAGTCGTCATCAAAGCTCAGTCTCAGCGTAGTCGATTCTGCAAAACCCACATGAAGATTTCGACGCTTGCTGTCCCGAGGCTTCGAAAGGGAACATTGACCGGCATGATCATGATGGAGGCCTTCAAGTTTGAGTTCAAATGCAAGTTTCTGCGCAGCTTCTCTGGCACCACATTCACAGCAGAAGTCTGGCTCTCGCATGATACTATGGCTCCATTTCATGGCTGCTACGGCTGGAAGATCAAGCAAATCTGGCTTCCGACTGCAATACCATAGGGTCATATACAGTCCGCCTAGCTGAAAGGCTGCTTTGCATCTTGGGACAGCTTGACATCTTCTGCAGCTGAGCTTCCTTCTGTTCTGGGTCGCTTGGCTGATGGCACCTCCACTTGGATCGACTCCGCATCCTTGGATAGTTTCATCAGAGAGTTGGAGAGCGTCTGGATGCTTTCTTTGATTTGCATGGCCGACGTCTCGGAGTCTCCAATCATCTCCTCCTCGTCGCTGATCTCTGTCACTTGGCCAGCTGAGGTCTTGGAAGCGTCCAGGCATTCTTTGGCCTCTTGAAATTGATCTCGAGCGGCCGTAATCCTCATCTGAAGGGCTTGCTCGTGTTGTTCGAAGAGTTTGGCATAATCGGTCCAATTCTTCACTGCTTCTGCCAAAAATGACTTCCAGGAGCTGATGTGCTGGGTGCGCGCGACCAACGCCTCTTCTAGGGTTGTCCGTGCTTCTCCCAATGATTTTGCCGCTGCCTGGAGGTCCTTGATGACTCTCTTCCCTTGTTTCCGGGACTCCGTTTGCACTCTCTGCTGAACATCCGGAGGAAGATCCACTGAACGTTTCTGCAGGTAATTGAGGAGGTCGTTCGGTAATGGTTCTTGAGTCAAAGTTGGCATCGTCGGTAGAGGCATGGCCAAGGGTGTGAAGGTCGGCAAGGAAGTGCATGGTTGCGGAGCCTGGTTGCTCTGCATAGGCCCGGCATCATATTCACCATGGGCATGATGTTGGATGGGGCACCAGGATGCGTCCAGGGTGGTGGTGGTCCACTGGGTGGAGGCAATGGTGGGCCCGGCATGTAGCCCTGAGGTGGCAACTGCTGAAAGGGCTGGTACTGCAAAGGCGGCCCATCCCTGCCATGTCTTTTCCTTTGCCTCCTCTTGGAGACTTCTTCCTTGGACTTTGATATCTTCTCGGAGATTTTTGGCTGCGTGGTGACTGATCTCCTTGGTAGTAGTGCTGTGCTCCTTGATAGTTCCACTGTTGCTGTGTCTGCGGTTGCTGCTGCTTGACGCCATGGATGTACGTGCGGTCCATAGCCGACTGCCACGGCATTTGGCAAGTCTGGCAGTACGACGCACTGTGCTAGCGGAGCTGTTTGCAGTGCAAGTTTCGCCATGGGGCATTTTGGTTCTGCATTGCTTTCACGATGGCACGTAGAAAACCACAATCTCGCGAATGATGTGAACTCAGGACCTGGAAGATCCTCTGAAGCTGATGCCCAGTAAGACGGGTTTTGCCTGTTCTGTGCAAAAACCACTGGAGCCTCGCCCTGGCTCTCTGTCTCCTCTGGGTGCGCCTCAATGAGGAAGTCGCCGTAGTGATTCACAAAAACCGTGTCAAACGCGAAAGTGATGACAAAGTGCAAAGGCAGGAAGAAGCAAATGATGAGCCGCAGAAATGTAGGAAACCACATGCACTGAAATCGAAACCCGGGTTTTTTGTACGAGGCCGGGACCTCAGCACTGCAAAGGTGGTACTGGGGCGCCCCCCCAGCAGAGCACGATGCAATAGGGCCACCGCCACAAATCCAGGGCGAACCAGGTCAGAAGAGTGGGGTACCCAAAAGGCAAAGTTGCACAAAGCAAAATGGCCCGGGGACCGGTCAACCGTGGGTCCCCTAAGGTTGAGGGAAACGTGGGCACTAAGAGCTCGCTTCGATCCCAAACCTTATAGTAATATTATATATATATATATGCTTATAGCATCTGCTCGTTTTGTTAACCAACTTCGCAACAAACCACGGCACCACCTGTTCATGAGGCCCTACCTGAACTCCTGGCGCAACGCGCGGCTTTTCGGGGAGCTGCGGAGATGTGGGCGTCAAGTGCAACATCCAGGCGTGGGCGGCAGTTGGACAGGCTGGTAATATTTCTACCTATAAAAAGCTAATATAGGCACAGGATGTCATGATATATATATACATACATATATGTGCCTGTGTGTGTGTTTGTTTGTGTTTGTTGTTCCCAATCATTGTGGTTGTTTCATTCTAACATATTTCAACAATGAAACACATGTAGGATCTCATATGTTTTGGTATTCATCAATATTCATCACTATACTTGTGGGGATGAACATAAACCACCAGGATACCAAGGTTTTGATCCATGAGGATGACGATTCCTCGCACGTACAAACACGGACGCGCTAATACACATAATATCACATAATCACACAAAAAAAGGCGCACAACAATGGTTGTAATTATTGTAATTGTAATTTTAAATCCAAGCGTTTTAAAATACATCTCTCAATTCAAAGTTAGATTTGCAGGTCAGTTTCTGAGCCCTGTGCTAGGTGTCACTTGGGAGAAGATCTTCCAACGACGGGAGGAAAAACATGGAGAAAAAAGACGGGGCTGATGCAGTTTTTTTTGTTGCTGTTTTTCCTTTTAACGGATTTTTGTGGATGTTTACCCCCATAAGTTGGGTTATAAGTTATAAGCCCTATATAACTGCTGAAATATATCGGTCCAATTGGATCAGGGGATGCAAGGGTCAGAAGCGCAACCAGATCGATTCACTTCAACAAGATTTATATATATATATGGAATACCCCAGTTTGTTATATCTGTTCAGGATGATTGCGCCAGCCCCACTGAGCAAGTCTTGCAACGTGTGAAACTCACCAATTCTTCTGAAATAATATGTCATCCCTGCTTAACAAAGCATGTTTCAATCTCAATTTTGTCCATATTTTCCATGAATTTTGAAACCTCCAGCCACTTTCTGGTGTCTCACGCTCGTCGCGCTGTGCCCAAGGTTTGGAAGCCCGTGCTTCTGCTCAGCATGCGGAGACGGAAGGCGGAGTGGCTCCATGTTTGGTGGAGAACAGATGGGGGGTGGCCGAAAATCTCTTTGGTTCCTCAATCTTCAACTGTATTGGAGAGAAACTGAAGGAATTCCTCACATATTCACACCATTTTGATCCAGAAACTGGGATTGTTCGTTGCAACACCTAGGAGCAGGTGGTCCAGCCCCTTTTGACCTTTGCCCCTGAGAGGATATTTACAACAGCTGGCCGAGGCGGGGAGGGGCACCATCGGGTCAGCTTTGATCTCTTCAAGCTTTCAAAGTAGCAGTGACATTTTGGGCTTGGATTTTATTAGATATTCTCACCTGGCTGGTGGAGCCAAAAATGTGCCAACTTTTCATTCTATTTCATTTTTCTTTGGGAGATTCAACCCGAGAAGTGGCCAAACGAAAATTGGGAGCACAGTTTGTTGGTTTATCTCCTCAGCTTCTGCTGATTCATGCCCCCATCGGTTGATGATCGAGTTTCCATCCCTATGTTTTCGATCTATTTGGCTGGATTTTGGATACCCTGGTGACTGCAGATCCTTGAGTCATTATTGCCATTTATATCCATTTATTGCCCTTTTGGCACTCTGGACACTCTGGACTGGGTATGGAAAATCTTTGACAATCTCAGGTTCGATGGTGATTTCGACATTATAATCATTAAAGAATGGGACATTCCAATTGCCAAGTAAGATTTTCATGTCATGCCCTATGTAGCCTACAGCCTCGAACCAAAGCCCCGAGGCTCAGGAAAGTTTACAGCTGAAACTTGAAGATACGGTCCCTGGTCTGGGTTTGGAGCAGTTGGTCCTGGTATTCTTCCTGGATTCTTTGGATTTTCACCCGAAAATCACAGTCAACCGAGCCAACCAAATAAACACAGCACTGGCAGTGGAAAATCCATCATGGGTCGATCATATACCGAGGGTAAATGTGTAATGGATGTGTAATGGATTGTCCTACTGTATGACATTTGAAGGCGTTGGCATGACAGCGCTTGACCCGATACCTTTAATACCTTTGATCTGAGACATGTGCCACGAAGCTGAGGCAGGCCATCCATGAAACTGCGTGGGTGATTCACGTTCATTTTCGTATGGGTATGGGTCAGAAGCTGTGATACTAAATATTTGAACTGATGGACATCCAGCTATACCAGCTATTCTGACCCTGGCTTACCCTCCGCCTCCGCTAGTCAAACATGATCAAAACATGGATAGCTGGGAAATCCCCGAACTATATAGTATAATTCAACGGGCATTTGAATGAGGAAATCATTGGTAAAATTCTACAAATGGGTGATGTTTCAGCAAGCCATGTTGTACTACCAGAGGCTCCCAGGGGTTGGCCCAAAACCAGGAACGACGAGCGGCTCGAGAGCTGGCCGAAGCGGAAGAACGCCAGCAGCCTAGTGGGAACGGTCACCGTGGGAATGATGGATGTGTTGCAGGTTTCACAGGGCTCTAGCCATCTCTAGCCCATTATAGGTAAGGTAAACAATAAGAGGCCGGAAACGGATGGGAATGGGTCATTCTGCTAGTTTTATCTATTTTTGCCAAGTTGTCCTCCCTGGTGTGGAATGGATTTGAATGGTGTTGGGAGCAACCCTATTTCATGGATCCCTTGAAAGACAGCTGGACCAACAGCATGTATCATGCTTTTTATGTCAGTAGGTCAGGCTCCACTGGAATCTTCCAATTTTGTCGGAAACAGGTAGCATATTGTGAATTACCCACAAGACCTTATATAGTCATAGTACAAGGATCTATGTAAGTTATTACTATAGTTATTGTCTTTGCCACATGATCTGATGATCTACAGATATCTATATAAATATATATATATGTATATATATATAGTCATTTATATATATATATATAGTCATATATATATAGAGTCATGTATATATATAATATTAAACTGCAGTTAGCATATTGGCTCACAGCATTGCCCTGGATGTTCCAAGGTCTTGAGGAGCAGGCAGCTTCGAGCAGCTTCGATATGCTTCGATGGGATTGGAAACGTCGAGCCCACGGGCAGCTTGCGATATGCACCAAAGAAGATAGAACATGATTTTTTGAAATGCTTTTGGAAGAGTATTAATACATCATTTCAATTGTCTTCAACGTTTTGATGTTTTTTGTATGAAATTCGGGATTCCTATATATATATATAAATATATATATATAGTATAGAGTGGGTCATTATTGCTGAATGGTTCCAGTTACATTCTTGTAATTTGAAATCAAACATGTCGAACTCAACTTGGGATGATTGAGAGTGGACCAGTGGACCAAGATCGTTGGGTCCACCCACCACAATCACTATATCACTATAATCCAAGTTTCCAACCATATCCCCTGTCCCCTGTGTAGTCTTTGACCAGGCAGACGAGTTGCAGCTGCGACGTGAGCAACTGCGCTACGTCTTGACTGAGTCACAGCACCAGGAGGAAATGGCTGAATCTGGCTGATGCCTTGGGGAGTCACAGGGCTGCCCAGAAGGGTGGACAAACATCTGAAAACATGGTAAAATTTATCTTGTCAGAAGTTGTTTTTTCCTTGAAGGTGATTCTTGATGCGCTCTGCTTTTTCAAAAGAATAATCATCATTCCTGGGTGAGATTTACCCCCATTGGCGGTGGGCTTGTCTCACAACTTGTACCGAAATGGACCTGTCGACCAGGAGATCCTGGAAGCAAAGGTGCTGGTAAGGGACGTGGGATGGCCCAGTGCTGACTTCGGTGAACTTTTTTCGGAACTCAAATTGTGCGACAGAGAAAATCTACAACCCTAGTATATCCTAGTATAACCTAGTCATTGGGTCATTAAACTTGAATGGTTTCGGACTAGAAATGACATGAAATGACTAAAATCCAATGGAAGTTGGGCTTGACTGAGCTTAGGTCACCCTGCGCGCACTTGTGAACGCCAGTGGGGGGCCTACTTGTCGGCGAAACCTGGTGTTTGTACAAAGATCCATAAGATCCACAGCTTGGATAGCTTGGGTGAAAATACCCAGAAACCTAGTGATCAAATAGGCTCCTCACATTTCATGCGTCGGTGGATTGTAGCTCACCTAAAGGTGAGCGTGGCATCCGTGAAAGCAACGAAGAGCGGGTAAAGGAACTGGAAGGTGCGCCGTGTGGAGATGTGCCTGTAGTATATTCTATGGGTGCTATGATACACATATGAATACATGCATGCAGGCATTTATTTCTATCTATTTGTCTACTATTTATCTATTCTATTCAATTCTATTCTATCTACTGTAATCTATCTACCTAATCTATCTAATCCATCTAATCGATCTAATCGATCTAATCGATCTAATCCATCTAATCCATCTAATCCATCTAATCCATCTAATCCATCTAATCCATCTAATCCATCGAATCTATCTAATCCATCTAATCCATCTAATCCATCTAATCCATCTAATCCATCTATTCTATTTAATCTATCTAATCCATCTATGCAATCCATCTAATCCATCTAATCCATCTAATCCATCTATTCCATCTATGCATATATACATATGTGTATATTAAGAAACAAGCAACAATTATGGCAAGTTGTGATTTGAAGCTGCCAACACTGGGGTTTCACAGCTATATAACTGCTTGGGAAGGGGCCAAAAGCTGCCCAATCAATCTCCCAGACCAAGTGCCGGTCAGCAAGTCTTGTGTTCTCGCGATGTACTCCTGGGTAGGAGCAAGCTAACAGTTCAGAAACCGTACACCACTGGGATGATTGGAGCACTGAATCTTTGCCCACTCAAGCTTGTGTGGTTGCTTCAAATTCAATATTGAAATGTATTGAAATTATTCAATTATTTGCTTGCCTGATGTGATGAGATATGATGGACCCAAGTGTTTACCCTTCAACCTGACAGGTTGAAACCGGAAACCCGTGGTAGATCGTTGGTGTTTCCACTGTAAGCTTCAGCCCCATACAGCAGTAGGCATCATTGCCAACGAACGTGAACAAAAAGATGCGGCCATGAAGGCAGTGAAGGAGCTGCAGGACCCTGGCCTTAGCGGGCAGGAGGTGATGGGAGGGTGCGCGAGCTGAAGATGTTAACAAAGTTACGAAGTTCCTATATGCTGTATAGAATTATATATAAATATATATTTATTTATACTTATTACAGTAATAATTATTTTGAGAGATATACATACACACACATTGTGTCATATATATATACATGTATACATATACATTTACATTTATATATATATATATACACAATGTATGTGTATATATATACATATGCAAATTTGTATATACATCCTTTAACCCACAGCATGCTGCTCCTGGGAAGTTACATGAAGCTATTGTTTTTTCTTTTTCGCACATTTTACCCGAGTCCCGACTGAGACACACCCACAGAATTTACAGCAGACATTTGGAGCATTTCCTGTCTCAGGAACAGCAGCAGCAATGGGCGGAAGAAAAAATGCAGCTGCAAAAGGACAGAAAATGAAGCCACTGGAAAACGTTGCAACTTCCGGTTTTGTTTGTGCGAACTTGTGGATTCAACCGCAAACAGCTGCAGGTTCTGACCAGCAAAACTGAAGACTTGATGTGGGGGATCTTTTGGGAAACCCTATATGCTAGCTGGCAGTGTCACAGTGTGGGCCTACGACTTGCTTTAAGGTTTTTGGGCAATATCAACCCTGGAGAAATCTCTGTTACTCCCTGGTTGATAGTTGAGGACCCTCACTATGGTGACAATTCTTAGCAGGATTGGCCCCCATCCAACTTAATCAACAAGCACTTTTTACCAATCCAACGTTCACCAGCTAGAAGTAATTAAAAGAAAACTTGCAGGTACGTAATCCCTCGTTTCCTTTTGGACCATTTTACCATCAAATATTGAGGTGTTTCCTCAACTATTCCCTTAAATTTGATTCTGAGACTGGTTGGTGTAATCCCTTGACTGGTTTAAGGGAAGAACTTGCAAGACCCCCCAAGAAACAGAAAGGGACACCATGGGTCCACTTATGATTTGTTTTTGCAAAATCAATAGCAACGTAGAACCAAAGATGTGGGCCCTATCTCCACCCCGACTATGCTATTCTGTATAAACTCTCAAGAACCAAATGAACTATTCAGCAGACAACAATGCAACAAAAACAAAGGAACATTAAAAAAAAACAAAGAAAACAAAAGGTTATGAATATAACATAAATCAACAACAATTACCAACACACATCACAAAACACTGTACATGTAGGGGTGCTGGTGGCGTCTCTCCAAAAACTGGTCGTTTTGCCATGTCTCCCTTTAGATCCCAGCCATGATGGCAGGAAGTCCACCAAGCTGAAGTGAAGCATGCGGAGGCGCTGCAGCTGATTTGAAAACAAGGTCTGCAAAAAAGATGGAACACCAAACAATGTAAAGAAAGAAACGCGACTATATTCCGGTACTGGCTACACCTTTGGTAGTTTCATACTCTCGTCCCTCGCTATACCCATTGCAACTAACATAGGCCACATCCAGCTAGATCAGTTTGAGCTCTCCATCGTGCGGAGGTCTGTGGAGAGCTGTTCACGTGCGAGGCTGAGTGTTACCTGTAGCCGTGCCCGGTGTGTTGGTGCTGATGGGACAGCACCAGCCTGTGGCCTATGGCACTGTATTCTAGTTATATCAGTTTTCTCACCAGCTGGAAACACCTTCCCACTCTCCCAGATCGCACTTGTGGGAAATGAGAGTTCTCATGACTGTCATGATTGAGAAGGGGATCCAAGCTGCAAGGGGTTCACATCCAATACTGGCAGGTGATAAACCCCATTATCTTTCTAAACATATGATTCAGTTTACCCATGTTTACCCTTATCATATCTTATAATGCAGTAATCGAAGACCAGCACGTGCTTTGGGCAAAATGAAGCAAAATGAGTCATTTTGTGTTCAGGGAATTCACATTCATTAGGTTTTTTTGGCCACGTGTTTGTCGTTTGAACAGTCTTCTATCGGTCAGTTGCTGTAGGTTTTTCCCCACCTGCCAGGTGAGGGTTGTTAGATTTTATGTCAGTTGCCTCCTCCTCCTCCTCCTGCTCCTCCTCCTCCGCCTCCTCCTGCCCCGTCCTCTCCGCCTCCTCCTCCTCCTCGTCCTCCTCCTCCTCCTCCGCCTCCTCCTGCCCCGTCCTCTCCGCCTCGTCCTCCTTGTCGTCCTCGTCGTCCTCCTTGTCGTCCTCGTCGTCCTCGTCGTCCTCGTCCAACTGCGACCCGCGATCCACAGTGTTCTCTGCCGGACCTCAACCACGACCATCCACGCCCAGTGTTCCCTGCCGGACCTCAACCACGACCAGCCACGCCCAGTGTTCCCTGCCGGACCTCAACCACGACCATCCACGCCCAGTGTTCCCTGCCGGACCTCAACCGCGAGTATCCACGCCAAGTGTTCCCTGCCGGACCTCATGTAGGAAGATAAAATGTCAGATAGAGTGCCAGAAGATTGCCAGGTAGAATGCCAGAAAATATGCCAGAAGATATGCCAGATAGATATGCCAGAAGATATGTCAGAATATATGCCAGAAGATATGCCAGATAGAATGCCAGATATGAAATGCCAGAAGATATGTCAGAATAGAATGCCAGAAGATATGCCAGATAGAATGCCAGATTTGCCAGATAGAATGCCAGAAGATATGCCAGAAGATATGCCAGAAGATATGTCAGATAGAATGCCAGAAGATATGCCAGAATGCCAGAAGATTTGCCAGATAGAATGCCAGATATATATGCCCAGAAGATATGCCAGATAGAATGCCAGATAGAATGCCAGAAGATATGTCAGAATATATGCCAGATAGAATGCCAGATAGAATGCCAGAAGATATGTCAGATAGAATGCCAGAAGATATGCCAGATAGAATGCCAGAAGATTTGCCAGATAGAATGCCAGAAGATATGCCAGAAGATATGCCAGATCATATGCCAGAAGATATGCCAGATAGAATGCCAAATAGAATGTCAGAAGATATGTCAGATAGAATGCCAGAAGATATGCCAGATAGAATGCCAGAATAGAAGATACAGATAGAATGCCAGAAGATATGCCAGATAGAATGCCAAATAGAATGTCAGAAGATATGTCAGATAGAATGCCAGAAGATGTGCCAGTAAGAACATGTATAAATGTCATGGTGGGGATCACACGAAGTAAAGTAATTTTTGTACTTGGTGTTTTCCCTTGAGCAAGATGACCATCAGATCCTTCTTCAACTAGAATTTTGAGAGATTAGGTGTTTGGGTCGCTTTGATCTTTGGGAGAAACAGCTCAAGAACGTGCTGTGATTCGGATTATATAAATATATCATATATCCTTTACCTTTATGGTATTGTTTAATACAATGAAGCCGGCATAGCACCATAGAATTATAAGCCCATCCGTCCACCTTCGAAGGGGATCGGCAGAAACTGAGGGCTCAGCAAGTGGCAGCCCTGAGCCGAGACAAGCATCAGGA